CGACGGTGCTCATCTGAATGGATCAATAATGATAGTAAGGAAATCTGAGCAGGGGTCTTTCTCAACTGCTCCACGATGGAATAATCTTGTACCTTCATTTTTCTCAAAAACTCCTCCGCCTCTTCTTCAGTGACCAGTTTCTTCACTAGAACTGGATTGTCTCTGAGTGTTTTAGCTTTCCTTAACTCTTCCGGGGCAAAGCATCTCCCCGACCGAGTTAAACCCTGGGCCTTATTAACTTCTTCTTTCACTTCCTTCCCCTTATAGGTCACTACCACTCGCCAGTAGTTCCATGGGACAATTTTGGTGTTAGCTACCGACAGTTGGGTCACAGGTTTGATAATGATAGGGTCCGTGCGAGCACCCTCCACAATTATGAAGGGTTTACTTGCGACCCCCGACACGATCACCTATGGCTTTTCTTGATTTGCTACAACATCACTTGGGGACCTCTTTTCGATTACCACAACTGGCTTATCATTTGGCATGCTCAACTTGTCCACCGATCCTTCAGCTATCGAAGAGGTTGCTTTTGTGACAACCGGGTCCTTGACCGACTTACTTTCACTAGACCGGATCATCATGACAGATTGTGAAAGCTTCTTGGGCTTCCCATCTTTGTGCACTATCTTAATCATGTGAGTTTCAGCATGGGCCGGCAATGGGTTCTGGTTGATATTGGGTGCTTTTGGGCTTTGGACCATAATCTGGTTCGTATCAATGAACTCTTGGATGGCGTTTTTCAAGTGCCAACACTTTTCTGTGTCGTGTCCCGGAGTGTCAGAACAGTATGCACACCGGAGAGAGTAATCCAGGTTCTTTGGAGGAGGGTTTGGTAGTTTCGACTCAATTGACCTCAGAACATCCAACTGCCTCAACCTTTGAAATAGGCTGGTATAAGACTCCCAAGTGGGGTGAAAGTTTTCTTGCGCCGCAACCTTTCGTTCCTGAATTCTGGTTTGGGCCGAAAGTTTGGACCAGCGGGGTTTCGGTATGTTTGTGGGGGTGGGTAAGGGTTTCGTGGAGCTGGTGCACGCCATTGCGGGTGAGGAGGGGGTTGAGCATATGACTGTGCGTGATGGACATTATATTGGGATGGCCTGACTGAATACTGAGGCTCTGGTAGTGGGAAGTAGTGTTGGGGTGGATTATATGGAGTTGGGGTATAGGTTTGAAACTGGGGTCGGGGTTGGGTGTAGTGGGTAGGAGAATCTCCCGAGCCATGCCATGATCCTGAAACAACCATAGCGACATCCTCTTTCTTCTTTTTCCCGAGCACGCCTCTGGTGCCATTGTGGATTGCCTGCGTAGTTGCTTTGATGGTGGTGTAGCTCATGATCTTGCTTGATTTGAGCCCTTCCTCTACCATTCCTCCCATTGTCACTACTTCATTAAACGACTTACCTATGGCCGAGATCAGATGGCCAAAGTAAGTAGGCTCCAAAGCCTGCAGAAAATATTCCACCATTTCGTCCTCCTCCATTGGAGGGTTAAACCTTGCTGCTTGTTCTCTCCAGCGGAAACCATATTCCCTGAAGCTTTCACTGGGCTTCCTCTCAATCTTAATTAAAGACAATCGATCCGGAGTAATCTCGATGTTGTACTGGAAATGACGAGCGAAAGCTTGGGCCAAATCATCCTAAGTATACCATCTGTTGTGATCTTGACGAGTGTACCACTCCAGCGCTGTGCCACTCAGACTTTGGCTAAAGTACGCCATTAACAGCTCATCTTTCCCACCAGCTCCTCTCATCTTGCTACAAAATCCCCTTAAGTGGGCTACGGGATCTCCGTGTCCGTCATATAGGTCAAATTTGGGCATTTTGAACCCAACAGGTAGTTGCACATCAGGGAATAAACACAGATCCTTGTAGGCCACGCTCACCTGACCTCCCAACCCTTGCATGTTTCTGAGTGACTGCTCCAAGCTTCTCACCTTCCTGAACATCTCTTCCTGTTCTGGGTTCTTAGGTGGTTTCTCAGCCTCGATAGGAAGGTTGAAACGGGGAGTGTAGGAATAATGATCTAGGGCCTTGAAAGTAGGCTCTGGGAGATAGTACTGATTATCTTGGGTTTTGAATAATGGCTCACTGGAGGATCGATGAAGTGTAGCTAGTGGAGGTGCTACGAAAATAGGGGTAGCTGGTGGAGAAGGGTATGGGGTTGTTTTGGTTGGTGGAACTTGTATGGTCTGGGAAGTGGTGCCATGATAGTGGTGGTAAGGAGTGAAGCCTGGGGCGTGTTGTGGGGATGGATCAGCAACGGGAGGTTCTTGGGATTGATCTAGTAGTGGGATGAAAGCAGGGTTGGCGGGGTATGATGGCAGAGGATGCCCTTTCATCCACGCCTGGTACATTTCAACCATCTAATGTTTCAACTTATGTAACTCCTCCTTAATTCCTGATTCGGTTTCCTCCACCTCCCTCGGTGGATCAATAACACTTGCATCCAATTCTTGGCCAGTCATGATCAGCTTGTCTTTGGACCTGGTGTTGTACGGGTGAGTTGCCAAAATGCCACACAAACTAACCACCTTCCTGTTACTCAATGACAACAACAAATGTGTCAGCGGTAAAGATTTAACAGATAGGCAACCGCACATTTGGAATGCGATGCACCTAGACAGTTAAAGTTTCTATCGTGCATTTGAACGGCTGCATGCTTCATCCCGGCTTTTAACTAACTCTTCGCATTTTGCGCTTTTCTTTCCTCTCTCTTTTCTCTTTTCACTCCAAACCCTTTTTCAATCGCTATTGGCCTTTTCACTTGTTTTTGTTGCCTCCCTTTATTTTGCCCTTGTTTTTCCTCTCTTGTTTTGCCATTATTTCCTTCCACTCGATTTTCTTAATTTTCTTTCTCTCTTCTTTTCTTCTCTTTTTCATTTTATGGTTATGATCGAATCCTATGGGAATTGCCTACGTACCATGCCGCCGCATGAATCAGATCATTACATAGTTCAGGGAACATGTGCGAAATAAAATAAATTAAAATTAACATTTTAGGGTTTGTTTTTGAATTTTCATAAATAATAAAAAAAATATATCTTGATTACGACGACTTCCCCTACAGATTTAAACATAAAAACTGACAGACTCGATGAGTGGACCAACAAACTTAAAAAGAAAACTAAAAATACAGACTCGAAAATGAACTAACAAACTTTAAAGAAACTGACAATACAGACTCGAAAATGAACTAACAAAATACAGACTCGAACAAACAAATTCAAGAATATATAAGTGCCTAAACTACTGCTCCAGTTGGCCTTGCTGCGGGCCTTTGCGCCATATCTTCTTGGAGGCTTTGATCTTTGACGGATCTAACTCAATACCTCGCCGACTGACTATAAACCCCAACAGTTCTCCAGACGGGACACCAAATGCACATTTTGCAGGGTTGAACTTAAGGTTGTACCTGTGGAGCCTCTGGAAAAACTTTCTCAAGTCCCCGACATGGTCGGGCTGCTGCTTTGACTTTATGATCACATCATCTACATAAACCTCAATCTCATTGTGTATCATGTCATGAAATACGGTAGTCATTACCCTCATGTAAGTTGCCCCAGCGTTTTTCAAACTAAATGGCATTACCCGGTAGCAATACGTTCCCCATGGTGTGATGAACACTGTCTTTTCTGCATCTTCCTCATCCATCAAGATCTGGTGATATCCCGCATAGCAATCCACAAAAGACCCGATCTCATGTTTGGCACAATTATCAATCTAAATGTGGATATTCGGCAATGGGAAATTATCCTTTGGACTTTCTTTGTTGAGGTCACAGTAATCAACGCACACCCTAGTCTTACTATCCTTCTTTGGTACTGGCACAACTTTAGCTAACCAAGTGAGGTATAGCGTGACTCGAATGACCTTTGCATCCAACTGTTTTGTGAATTCTTCATTGATCTTCACACTCATGTCAGTCTTGTACTTCCTTAACTTCTGCTTGACCGGAGGGAATGCCGGATCAGTTGGCAATTTGTGAACTACCAAGTCAGTACTCAAACCCGGCCTGTCGTCATATGACCATGCAAAGATATCTTTATATTCAAACAGTGCTTTGATTATTTCTTCCTTGACTTGTGGTTCCAGGTGTACACTTATCTTGGTTTCTCTGATATTATTTGGATCCCCTAAATTTATTGCTTTAGTTTCATTCAAATTAGGCTTGGGTTTCTCTTCAAAATGATTTAGTTCTTTACTAATTTCCTCAAATGCCGCTTCTTCATCATATTCTGTTTCATCATCGCACTCTACTTCTTGGATTATTATTTCAGAGTTAGATTGGCTTTTAAGACTTGACCGAAAATTTCCCATGCATGTCATGTCATTGAAACCAGCATAAAAAGAATTGTACAAAGAAAGACAAAAATAACACTATCAGGAGTAATGGACAAAGGGAAATTGTATTTCATTGAAAATAAAGGATAGAAGGGTTTGTATATCAAAACAAGCAAGAAATAAAATCTGGATTACAACCCTGGAATAATCCAGATAACAGAAAGGAAAACAAAGCAAACTACCAAAACTCCTTCCGAGTAGGGAGAGGAGTAGCCATCCAATTGTTAAGCTTCACTTTTGGCCCAATAAACTACACGTCTGCTTTGCTGGAACCTTCCCCAATTTCTACCATGTTCACTTCATCAAATAGACTCTGGAACCTTTTGATCAGCTCTTCATAAAAATTGACCACAAGTTTTGGAACTGCTGACACCGGGCGCTTCACGACCCCTGACTTGACGAAGGACCTGGAGAGGCGTGGGATAGGCTTAGGGAGCGACCATGACTTCTATACAACGTTTTAGCCTTCTTCACATCCTCCCCTGTAGGTTTGAATCCCAAACCAAATGTACCCAGATTTTCACGTAAAGACACTGGCTGTACGATACCTTGCAAAGATGCGCCCAAACCCTTGCCCGGCACAAAACCATTCCTCAACATTTCGTTTGCTACCATGACGGTTGCAGAAGATAGCTTCGGACCTGGAATACATTCCCCTTATGGAACCTTCTCAACTGACGCTATTTTGGAAACTTGGTAAACCCAAGGCCCCTCATCGTCTTCGGCCTCAATAAATGGGATGGATGTATCATTGTAAGCACATAAGTTATCGTCACCATGCACAACAATTTCCTGTCTGTCCCACTCGAACTTTACCATCTGGTGCAGAGAAGATAGGACTGCTTTGCCAACATGTATCCAGGGCCTGCCCAATACCAAATTGTAGGAGGCGACCATATCTAGTACCTGGAATTCCATGGTAAATTCAACTGGTCCTATTGTCAGTTCAAACACGATATCGCCAACAGAATCCTTTCCCCCTCCGTCAAAACCTCGAACACATACATTGTTCTTGTAGATCCTTTCAGTATCAATTTTCAACTTTTGCAGAGTGGAGAGGGGGCAAATGTTTGCACTGTAACCATTATCAGCTAGCACCCTTGTGACCACGAAATCCTCGCATTTAACTCTGAGATAAAGAGCTCGATTGTGCTCTGTACCCTCCAAAGGAAGCTCGTCATCCGAGAAAGTGATCTCGTTTGCCTCAAATATCTTGTTGGCAATCTTCTCCAAATGGTTCACTGTGATCTTATCAGGGACATGAGCCTCATTCAAAATCTTCACTAGGGCTCGACGGTGTTCCTCTGAATGTATCAACAATGATAGAAGAGAAATCTGAGCGGGTGTCTTCCTCAACTGTTCCACGATGGAGTAATCCTGCACCTTCATTTTCCTCAAGAACTCTTCCGCCTCCTCTTCGGTGGCTGGCTTCTTCACCAGGATTGGGTTATCTTTGAGTGGCTTAACTTTCCTTAATTCCACTGGGCCAAAGTATCTCCCCGAACGAGTCAACCCCCGGGTTTCATTAACTTCCTCTTCCACTTCTTTCCCTTTATAAGTTACTATCACTCGTTTGTAATTCCATGGAACAACCTTGGTGTTATCTATCAGCAGCTGGGTCACAGGTTTAATAATAACTGGGGCAATACAAGCCCCTTCCACGATTATGACAGACTTACTTGCTACCCCCAGGACGACCACTTTTGGCTTTCCTTGCTTTGTTTCAACATCATCTGGGAACCCCTTCGCGACTACCACATGTGGATTATCATTGGACGTGCTTAGCTTGTCTGTCAGCCCTTCAGCTATCGAAGATGTTGCTTTTGTAACAACCAAAGTTTTGACTGGATTACTTTCACTGGCACGGATCATCATAACAGTCTTTGAAGGCTTCTTGGGCTCCCCATCCTTATGCACTATCTCAATCATGTGCGTTTCAGCATTGGCTGGCAATGGATTTTGATTGATATTTGGCACTTCCGGGCTCTGGACCACAATTTTGTTTGTATCAATAAGCTCCTGGATAGAGCTTTTCAAATGCCAACACTTTTCTGTGTCGTACCCCAGAGCATCAGAACAATATGAACATTTGAGGGAATAATCCAGGTTTTTCGGAGAAGGATTTGGTAATTTTGACTCAATCGGCCTTAGAACGTCCAATTGCCTCAACCCCTGAAACAGACTGGCATAAGAGTCTCCAAGCGGGGTGAAAGTTTGTTTCCACTATTGCCTTTCCCTTTTATACTCTGGCCTGGGTCGAAAGCTGGGACCAGTAGGGTTTCGGTATGTTTGTGGAGGTGGGTAAGGGTTTTGTGGAGCTGGGGCATGCCATTGCGGGTGAAGAGGGGGTTGAGCATATGACTGTGCGTGGTGGACATGGTATTGGGTGGCCTAACTAAATACTGAGGGTCTGGTGGCGGGAAGTAGTGTTGGGGTGGATTATATGGAGTTGGGGTGTAGGTTTGAGGCTGGGTTCGAGGCTGGGTGTAATGGTGAGGTGAGCCCCTTGGGCCATGCCACGATCCTGAGACGACCATAGCAACATCTTCTTTCTTCTTTTCCCCTAACACGCCCCCAGTGCCATTCTGGATTGCTTGTGTAGTTGCTTTGATGGAAGAGTAACTCATGATCTTGCTCTATTTGAGTCCCTCCTCTACCATTCCTCCCATCTTCACCACTTCATTGAAAGACTTACCTATGGCCGAGATCAGATGTCCAAAGTAAGTAGGCTCCAAGGCCTGAAGAAAGTACTCCACCATTTCATCTTCCTCCATTGGAGGGTTGACTCGTGCTGCCTGTTCTCTCCATCGGAAACCATACTCCCTCAAACTCTCACTGGGCTTTTTCTCTATCTTAGTCAAGGACAGGCGATCTGGGACAATCTCTACGTTGTACTGGAAATGCCGAGCGAAAGCATGGGCTAAGTCATCCCAAGTGTACCACCTGCTATTGTCCTGGCGGGTGTACCCTTCCAATGCTGCACCACTCAAACTTTGACTAAAATATGTCATCAACAATTTATCTCTCCCACCAGCTCCCCTCATTTTGCTACAAAATCCTCTTAAGTGGGCCACAGGGTCTCCATGCCTGTCGTACAAGTCAAATTTGGGCATTTTGAATCTGGCAGGTAGTTGGACATCTATAAACAAGCACAGATCCTTATATGCCACACTCACTTGGCCACCTAAACCTTGTATATTTCTCAGCGACTGCTCCAAGCTCTTTACCTTCCTAAATATCTCTTCTTGCTCCGTGTTTTTGGGTTGCTTCCCAGTTTCGGCATGAAGTTCAAAGTGAGGAGTAGTGATCCGGGACTTTGAAGGTGGGCTCTGGGGCATAGTACTGATTATCTTGGGCTTGGAATGCCGACTCACTAGAAGAACGATGGAGGGTAGCTTGCGGAGGTGCTACGAAGACAGGGGTAACTGGCGGAGCAGGGTATGTGGTTGCTTTGGCTGGTGGGGCTTGGACGGTTTAAGAAGTGGTGCCATGATAGTGGTGGTAAGGGGCGAAGCTTGGCGCGTGTTGCGGGGATAAATCAACAACGGTGGAATCTTGAGATTGAGCTAGTGGTGGGATGAAAGTAGGGTTGGCGGGGTATGACAATGGAGGATGCCCCTTAGTCCATGCCTGGTACATTTCGGCCATTTGGTGTTTCAGCTTATGTAACTCTTATTTCAAACCAGGCTCGGATTCCTCCATCTCTCTCGGCGGGTCAATAACACTCGCGTCCAATTCTTTTCCAGCCATGATCGCCTTGTGTATAGACCTGGTATTATATGGGTGGCTTGCCAGAATGCCAAACAAACTAACCACCTTCCTATACTCAATGACAACAGCAAACTTGTTAGTGTATAAAGGTTTAACGGATAGGCAATCGCACGTTTGGGATGCAATGCTCCTGAACAATTAAAAGTTTCTATTATGTATTTGAACGGTTGCATGTTTCATCCCGGCCTTAACTAACTCTTTTCACTTTGCACTTTCTCTTCTCTTTTCTTTTTCACTCCTGCCTCTCTTTAGCCACTATTGATTTTCTTACTCGGTTCTTGTCGCTCCACTTTTATTTTTGCACTTTCTTTTATTCTCTTGTTTTACCACTCTCCCTTTCCACTCGGTTTTCTTTCCTCTTTTTCATCTTATGGTTATGATCGAATCCTATGGGGATTGCCTACGTATCATGGCGCCGCATGAATCAGATCATTACGTAGTTCAGGGGATAAATGCGAAATAAAAGAAAGAAATATTTTTGGGTTTTCAAATTTCATTGAATAAAAACTTCTGACTCTCCTTTATTACAACGACTCCGGCATACATACTTAAGAACTGAAAAACCAAAACAGACTCAAAGTGGACTAATAGACTCTAAAATAAACTGAAATACAGATTCGAAAAGAAAATCAGGAATACATAAGTGCCTCCAATACTACTCCAGGGGCCCGCGGGACATCAGTCGATCTTGACGCGGGCCTACGTGAAATATCTTCTTGGAGACAATCCAAGTCATCCATTATTTGGCAAACAAAAGTCATCACAACGGCGAAGAAAGTGGATCTAGTCATATCCTCGCACTCATGGCATTTCCTGACGATATAATCAGCAATTCCTCTGACCCTTTCTCTAATGATGCCCTTCTCTTGGAGTAGGCGTCCAATTTGTTGAGACCTAGCCTCCAGAACCTGGGTGTCCGTATGGCTTTGCTGCTGCAATTATTGTATGTCCTCTTCCAGTCGAGACATCAAATCATAACAATGATCTCTTTCTGCTTTGAAGTTCTTTGTTTGTTGAGCCATTTCATTCTCAAGAGTAGTTAGCTTTCTCTTTAAACTTGTGACCTCTTTGTCATATTTTCCTTTTAGTTGCTGAACAAACCCCGCCCGTCTTTCTGCGTTCTTCGCCAACTTTGCCCGGGCTTTTGCCAATTCCTTTTCGGCTTCTTCCAAATCGGCCCCATAATCGCACATTTTTCGCCTAAGACTGTTTATAAGTTTTTTTATCTATTCCGCTCCTGACCGAGTTCTCAGCTGCTATTTTCATATCTGGGCTCGGAGGGCTTCATTGTCTTGGGCCAACTTCTTCTTTTCACCTTCATCCGCAGCGGCTTGCAATCCATTATCAAATTTAAGGTCTCTAATTTGCCCTTCTAACTTGCTTATGGTGGCCCTATATTTTTTTTTTGGTCAACCAAGCCCATTGTTCTTGCGACGCTTCAACAAATTCTTTGATGTGAGGCCTTTTGGTTGGCCTTTCAGGTTCGACCCTTGTAGTGACCTTCTTTCTATACCAAGCAAGATAACCAGGCGAGACCTCGGCTCTGGACAAGTCACGTACTCGGGTGTTTGTCGTCAAATACTTATAGGTTTATTGGGGTTGACTATGTGAATGTTACTACTTGTTTAGAGATCCTGCCTATAGGATGTTTTTCTAACTGTTTGTAAATCTATATTTTCACACTTTTGACATACTAGAGACACTGCCTATAGGTCTTTTGTTAATTCTGCATTAGAAATCTATGTTCATAGGATCCGCATATATTTCCAATCTCAACGTGCATTAGTTATCATGTATATAGGATTCAATTTGTGTGAATTAACAAACTTTCCTAGCAATGTGCCTAAAATTCTACCCACATGTGATTAATAGATATCATGCCTATAGGAGATAAAAAATCAGTTTCAACTTAGATATCATGCCTATAAAAGATAAAAAACTCAGTTTTAACCTAGATATCATGCCTATAGGGTGAAATCAATTCTGAAGCTCAGAGATCCTGCCTATAGGGGTTTAAATTAGTTCAGCAAATTAGAAAACATGCCTACAGGATCAAAAAGGGATAAAACATGTCTTCACGAGTTAAAATCAGAAATTTGCTTAGAAACCTATAGTTATAGGTCTATAAATTAACAGTTGTAGATACCATGCCTCTAGGATTCTGTTAATCACTTAGGCAAATCTGTAGGGTTATTAATGATTCTGGGGTCTAAAACTGTGATATCTTACTGCCTGAAAATGCCCAGATTAAAGGCTTAATAAATCAGTAGGCAAATTGATAGGTCCCGATGCCCGCCTTAATAAAACTGTTGTCTTGCATTCTGTTTCTGCTCATCTAGATGTTTATAGGATTCTAAATTAACGAAATTTGTTGATTTAACTGCGTGCATTTGTTTTCTACTTGTGGAGGTTAATATGAGCCCTTATTTGCTCCTTACATGATAGTCTTATTTGAATTTTGTTGTCGCCTAGCTTTTCTTGTTTTAAGCAACATAGGTCAGTCTAGAACCACTCTACATAGAGGTCCTAAATACCTCCAGGATCATAGGTAAGGGACGGGTAGTGCACGCATAAGGCACGAGTTAGAAGCTATTAGAACGCTTAGGTAACAATTGAAAGATAGCAATTGGGTAGTAAAGAAATTGATAGCCCATGCGCTAGTGCTATGAGTAAAACCCCTACTTGAGGGAGTTGCAAAGCACTGCATGGAATGATCCTATAGGCTAAAAATCTTAGGACCACTAAAATAAATTGAATATTGTCCCTATCTAATTTGTTTTAATTCGCCTAATTTAAGTTCAGCTGGGACCCACCGTTGTGGACCTCGAGGGGTGACTAACACCTTCCCTTCAAGGTAATTTCGAGCCCTCACCCGATCTCTGGTGATGCAAACTAGTTTCATGAGTTAACTGCTCTAGGTGCCCTAACGCACCTTAATCCGTTAGTGGCGACTCTTCAAATCCCTTACCCCATCCCAAAAGGAAAGGAGTTGTCCTAAACATGTCAAAACCCAATTTCGCAAGAAAAAAGGGGGCGCGACAAGTATTTCAGGTAGTTTGAGTGCCTTCATCAGGGTGGCATGACCGTCACCTAGTATGAGACCCGATTTATGGACCTAGCTCGCCATGCCATTGTCTTGCTCCCTAATGAGAGGGAAAGAGTGAGAAACTTCATTGATGGGCTCACTTTCAGTAACTGGCTACACATGACCAAGGAGACTAGAGATGATATTTCTTTTTAGAGGGCCGTAGAGATTTCTAGATGGATCGAGATAGTTCGTGGTTAGGAGAGGGGTCCAGTATCAGATAAGAGGCCTCGTCATTTTGGAGGTTTCAGTGGTGCCTCATCTAGAGGCAGGTGTACTTTTGGTAGAGGCTCCCATAGTGATTCGGGTAGTCGTGGTCCTTATATATCTCATCGTGAGCCTACAGTGCTCCATCAGCTCCTATTAGTGCGCCTCCGATCTAGAGCTACCATATTGGTTACCCGGCCTGTTCGGGTCAGTCTCAGCTTTAGCAGCCACATCAGTCGGGACGGTGTTTTGAGTGTAGGGGTACATGTCACATCTAGAGGTATTGCCCTAAATTGTTGAGCAGTATGCCATATCAGAGTTCTCGTGCCATGGTTCCGGAACCAGTTGCTTCACCGCCCGCTTAGCCAGCTAGAGGCGGGGGTCAGGCTGCCAGAGGTGGAGGTCAGGCCATTCGAGGTGGAGGTTAGGCCGTTAGAGGTGGAGGCCAACTTCTAAACAAGAGGCAGAGGTCAGGGTGGTGGGGCCCAACCTCGTTTTTATGCATTTCCCAGCTAGACCTGAGGCCGAGTCATCTGACGCCGTTATCACAGGTATTGTTCCAGTTTGCCATAGAGATGCTTCAGTTCTATTTGGTCCGGGCTCTACTTATTCCTGCGTGTCATCCTATTTTGCTTCATATCTAGTTGTGCCTCATGATTCTTTGAGTGCTCCTATGTATGTGTCCATGTTTGTGGGAGATTTTATTATTGTAGACCGTGTCTATCGCTGGTGTGTAATTACTATTGGGAGTCTTGAGACTAGTGTAGATCTCATACTCCTTGATATGATAGANCCGTAGTGTTGAATGTGACGTGCTTGCAAAAGTTTCAGGCCATTCCGAGACGGTTTGATAGACTTTTGATCGAAAGCGTAATTTGAGAGTTTTTGGAGTTCTTAGGCTTGAATCCGATGTTAAATTGGTGTTTTGATGTTTTTTTAGCGTTCCAAAGGTTGGAACAAGTTTGAAGTTTTAGGATTGGTTGGCATGTTTGATTGAGGTCCCTGGGGCCTCGGGTGAGTTTCGGGTGCTTAACGGTAGTTGAATTGGACTTAGGAAAATTTGATGTTGGATGAACCTGTCATAACCGCACCTGTGTGAATGGAACCGCAGGTGCGGCGCCGTAGAAGCGGCTTGGTGACCGTAGAAGCGAAATTGGCTAGGCCCCAAGAAACCACAGGTGCGTCTGGGTGACCGCAAATGCAGGACCGCAGATGCGGCAAAAGGACCGCAGATGCGGACCCAGCCAGTTAAGTGATTTACGCACCTGTGATGCC